CAATAAAGAGTGAGTTATTGCACTGCTTATGTCAGTGCTCAGGCTTACGGAAGTCTGAGAAACTAAGTAGACAGCACTTCAGGACTATCTCTCTAAAGTATGAAAGCTGGAGTATTTATCCACTTACTCGCATCCCCCATTGGCTGAGGTTTGCACGCAGAGAGTGCTAACCCCTCCATAATTCCTGCACTCAAGCTTGGCCTTCTACAGCTTTAAGAAAAGCCCCAAGACAGGAAGGTGAAGAGACACCCAGAACAGTTTTCTGGGTGCATGGAGCTGCTCAGCATAGTTCCACTAAAATCCAATGTACTGAGGAGATGTGGTGCATTGCACATAAAGCATCATTACAGACGTCAAGAGGAATTGGGTCATATTTGACATCATGGAGTGGATAAGATTGGTGAGTCTAGGAAGAAGAGAAAAGTCACAAGGATAGAACCACAAGACCCAGATGAAATGACAAAGGCAGGTCAGAGAGGCAGGGAAACCAAGAAAAGTGTCACATCAGCCAAAGGAGACATGACTATCAAGAAAGAGAGAAGGTCAACAGCTCCAAGTGATGTGTTCAAAGGGACTGAGGTCATTGCTGACTTTGGTGGTAAGAGTGGAGGCAAAAACTTCATTGTTTCTGGAGATAAGTAGATACAATTTGTGAGAAGGGGGTAGAGAAGTATAAACCACTCTCAAGAACTATGGTTTCAAAGGAAAGAAGAGACAGGTGGATAGTCAGGAATGTGGAGGTGGAAGCAGAGGTATGCAGGTTAGTTTTAACAACCAACTTTCCAGAAATGAAAAATAAAGCCCTGATTGGAAGCATTGGCTGGTGTCTGTACTGTAAATCCTCCTACCATGGCCAATTTCAAGCTACCAACATGATTTCAACTATCTTGCAAAATTCCTGAAATTGTAACAATCAGTGCTCCTGAGATGGTAGGAGTTAGCTCCAACACAGGACTGGGTGGAAAATTAAAGACTGTTGTTGTTTTATTGTTGTTGTTGTTATTGTTGTTGTTGTTGTTAATAGGGGGAAAATGTCACCAAAGAGACTGAGTCAATTGAGAGGGAGAGATGGAAGATGTGGGAGCAAGAATACAGTGAAATTCAGAGTGCATGCTTTGGGGACAGGGCATCCATTTTTAACAAATCTCATCTGCAGGGAGCACATAGAAAGAAGACGCGTTTGGAAAACCACAGACCTGGGTGTGAGTCCAGCTCCACAGTGTACTCACTGAGCCTTCATTTCCCATCAATGAAACGTGGACAAAATGCCTACTTCAAAGGATGTCCCAAGGGCTGAAGAGAAAGGTAAATGATAGTGACTATTGAAAATAATAGCAGTTTACATTTGTTTAGTACTTAGTTATATGCCAGACACAGACTAAGCACTTTCATGATAATCTTATTTAATTGTCATAGTAACGCCATGAGGTAAATTCCATTGCATCTCAATAGAATCGGTGATAAAATAAGCTCAGAGAGGTCAAGTAATTTTTCCAAGTGCATAGAGCTAGCGCTTTGTAGAGCCAGAATTTGAACGGGAGGAGCTGGCACCTATGTTAGCCACTGCACAGAACTGCATCCCACATGGTGGCCACATGGAGCCGAGAGGCAGGACCATTGTGTCCCCCCTATGAGGAGGGAGAGCAGGGTTTGGAGGAGCTAACAAATGGCCCAGGAAAGGTATTCAATTAGAGCTTCACAGTATTCACAGGTGAGATCAGAAATCATAAAGTAGTCCTGGTGCCAATCAGCACGTTCTAGAAATATTTGTTGTATTGCGTGTGATGCAAGCCTCCTTCTCATGAGTCAGTTTTGACTGACGTGGCCAGAGGGATTAGGAGGGCTGTGGGATCCTGGGGTGGGCAGGGCAGTGGCAACTCAGAGAGGCAGGGCTGAAATCTTTTACCTTCTTCCAGTAGATTGAGCCCTATCTAGTTGGCTGGCTGGAAGGACAAGCAGAGGGTCACATGGAAATCCAACAAGTACAGCCTCACAAAGATTTTAACAATAGTCATGGCCAAACCTGTCCCCACAATCAAGTCAACATTACCAAGATGCATTTCCAAAGAACGGACTTTCTTGGTATCTTTTCCTCTTATTCAATTTGGAATGGAAAAAGAAAGGCAATTCCTGAGTGTTCTGCAAACCTAAAGCCAGGACACTGACCCTAAATAGTTGTCACCTAGCGCTACAAAGATAACAGTGATGGCTGGGTTCCAGACACCTGGCCCTGCTTATCTCTTAAGTTGTCATGAACCTGGGTAACAAGACCAGTTTGTGTGGCCACTCTAGGCAGCTTCTTATAAAACTTGAAAGCAAGAGAGATCCAGAGTACAGACACATGCATGGCCTAGGCTTTCTGCTTACTTGAGAAGCTCTCTGTTTCCCACATGAGAAGGGAGGAAGAGGACTCAGAAAGTCACTTGATTTTTTGTGCAGCTGCAAATAGTGTGGAGTGTGCAATTTTATTTACTCGCTTAGATATCTGGCAAACTGAGGCCACTGTTTCACCTAAAAGCAGTGTGAGAAAAAAAATGTCGATAGGCTACAGCTTTGCCCTCTGAGAACAAAACCCTTTTCTGTCCCATCTTCCATGGAGAGGGGCTCAGATGGAGCTTCCTGGCTGTGGGATGGTGAGCGGTGGAAGGACCTCTCAACCCCTATAACAAAGAGATTGCAGACAGGCCCAGAAGTTGTGAGTGTGAGAAACTGTCTCATATTTTTAATGAAAAAATGATACTTCATCTTTCTAATGACAGAGAACTTGGATGTGGCTTACGGTAATATATGCCTTTTTTAATACATGGCTCATCATCTCAGGGCAATGGCAGTATGAAGGATGGTGCAGCAGACAAAAGGTTAATAGAGCATCAGGACTTTTTTAATTGAAAAAATGACTGAGGGGCCCCACAGCAGACCAAGTGGTGATAGTATCACAGACTGTAAGTACTGTTCTGGAGATATACTATTCATTTGAGGGTAGAGTAATAGACGTCAAACCAAGTCCCTATGCCTCAACATGAACAGGAGTCCATTCCGAAGGAGGTTAATAAGCAATACACAGTATTTTTCAAAGTATTCTTCAAAGTATGTTCACAATATTTCAAAGAGTGTTGTATGAAACAATCTAGTGTGAAGCAGATGTCTGTCTTTCTTTTTTTTTTTTTTTTTTTAAACCAGATAAGGATATAAAAATGAGAGAGTGGGGCCAGGGATGGTGGCTCATGCCCATAATCCCAGCACTTTGGGAGACCAAGGTGTGTGGATCACCTGAGGTCAGGGGTTTGAGACCAGCCTGGCCAACATGGTGACACCCCATCTTTACTAAAAATACAAAAATTAGCCAGGCGTGGTGGTGCGCACCTGTAGTCCCAGTTACTCAGGAGGCTGAGGCAGGAGAATCATTTGCACTTGGGAGGCGGAGGTTGCAGTGATCTGAGATTGCACCACTGCACTCCGGCCTGGGTGACAGAGCCAGACTCCGTCTCAACAAAACAAAACAAAACAAAACAAAAAAAATGAGAAGTGGATGAGGAAGTGCCCTGAGGGTGTAAATATGTAAATATGAACTTCTCCCTTCAGCTTGATCTTTGTGTAACTGCATTTGTTCATACTGAGACTTTCAAAATCTCATGGGGCACCTCGGTATCTGTAGCCTTTTGAGTCATGTGGTACGTGCAGCTGCCCCCATGAATGAGTGAACACATGAATGGCTTGGCCTTAAATAAATAAGGGCTGTCACAAAACTGTCCCCAACTCAGGAGGGGCTGATCCTCTCAAGCCCACCATGCTTCTGCACCACTCCTTGCTGGACCCTGTTACCCTTTAAACAAGCAAAGACAGATGGAGATTAGGCATCTCCTCCCGTACACAAGGCCCAGGATAAGGCATTGCCACAAACTATGTAAAGGTGAGTAGACAGAGGACTTCCCAGCGAAGAGCATACTACCTAACAAGTTGTTTGTTTTTTTTTTTTTTTTTTTTTTTTTTGAGATAGTCTTACTCTGTCGCCCAGGCTGGAGTGCAGTGGTGTGACCTCAGGTCACTGCAACCTCCACCTCCTGAGTTCTAGTGATTCTCATGCCTCAGTCTCCCGAGTAGCTGAGACTACAGGTGCATGCCACCACAACCGGTCAATTTTTATATTTTTAGTAGAGACAGGGTTTCATCGTGTTGGTCAGGCTGGTCTTGAACTCCTGGCCTCAAGTGATCTGACCGCTTCAGCCACCCAAAGTGCTGGAATTACAGGCATGAGCCACCATGCCCAGCCCCCGCATCTAACAGCTATTGACAGAATCATTGTGATTCTTCTGGGACTCTCCAAGGCCCGAAGAAGCCATTTTCCAGACTGAGTCACCAGAACATGTGCTCTCAGCAATTCTCTTGCACACAGACAAACAGAAACCCTTTTAAGGGACACCACTATTCCTTAGAAGCCAAGTAAGGATGTATTTATTTATTTATTTTGAGACAGGGTCTCACTTTGTTACCCAGACTGAAGTGCAATGGCACAATCATAGCTCACTGCAGCCTCAACCACCTGGGCTTGAGCAATCCTCCAGTGTCAGCCTCCCCGAGTAGCTGGTCCTATAGGTGCATGCCTCCATGCCTAGCTAATATTTTTTTTAAGTTTTTGTACAGATGGTGTTCTTGCTATTGTATCCAGGCTGGCCTCAGACTCCTGGCCTCATGTGATTCTCCTGCCTTGGCCTCCCAAAGTGCTGGAGTTACAGGTGTGAGCCATTGCACCTAGCTTATGATCATTGATATGAGAATTTTTTGCACTCGCTATACTTCAAAATGTGTCTGCTAAACACTATTCTAGAAAAGTTTCTTAGTCAATGGATTTTGCTGGTTCTGAAAGTGACACGGGGCTTCTAGTGATGATTCTTGTCACCAAGCACAGGCTCCTTTGCAAAGTCCTAGCGGGTCTTAGAGGATACACAGCTGTTCTGCTAATGTTTCATTTATTTCATGAAAATGCCATGATTTTCAAAGGCAAAGTAAAATCAGATTGCCTTTCTACTTTAAAACAATTATGGAATTTTTATACTCCAGTTTTCACAGATCACAGGTGTATCTGTAAGTATCTCCAAACGATAAACGAGTGTGAAAGAAGAGCATTTAAGCTCTCTGAAAAGTTAAACTTCACATTTTGTCCACTTAAGGCCTTCCCTGTCTCAAACAGACAAGAATGGGGTGTAGAAGGTTTGGCAACATCTGCATGGACATTTTTGGGCTGGTTGATGAGGGGTTAATTGGGGCTAATTTTAAATGCACAGGCTAGAAATCTTTTCCCTGGAGAACCTGACTGCATCTTAGCCTCCGATTGCTAAGAGATGATGGCTCCCAACTCATTGTCAGTTGCTCTGGGGATCTCAGAGAAATAATATGTACATGGACCCAATAGAAAACATAAAAATAATAAATGAAACTAATAATGCAAAATTGTTTGGGAAATAAGTAGTCCCTTCTGACACGAGCAGTGCTGGAAGCTTTGGGAAAAGAAGGCTGGAATGTAAATTGTAGAAATTGGAGTTGTAAATTTTCCTCTGGAGAAACAGGGAGCCAACAGTCCTGTTTAGAGGAAACTGAGCTCACAGGAGCTGGTTTTCCGTCCGGGTTCAATCCAAAAAGGACAGCCTCCCACTCCTACTTCCCCAAATAGGCTGGGCTCAGGATCAGGGAGGTGGGGGCAGGGAGACAGGGTCAGTAGGACTTGCAATCTGATGTCCTCGTTAAATTGAATGTACTGTTTCCATGGGACTGCAGGGGCTGACAGCAATGCAGGGTGAGCAACTCCTTGTTAAACCTTTCCTTTCTCGGCCACTGCCCCTCTCCCCTGAGATGGCTAACCAAGGAAATAATGCCACAGTGGTCAAGTGGGAAATCTTGACAAGGATGAACAGAAAAACCTAATGAGGCAAACCTGCTCAAATTTCATCAAATTGTATTTCCAAGTGAGTGCAGGGTCACAGGATAGAAACATGAAGATGCTCGGTGTGTTTGGCTCTAAAAAAAAAAAAAAGAAGAAGGAAGGGAGGTTGGAAAGAAGGAGGTCTTATAGAGAGGAGACTGCCTTGCTATTTATTTATCTCTGTTGATATTTTCCTGATCTTAGTCTAGGTGCTGACTTAATTTCATTTGGTTGATCATTTTCAACTCAAAGTTCATTGGGAATACTCAGACATTCTCCAGGCTGCAGCAATCCAGAGAAGCCAAATCCCACCAAATTTCATCCTGTCTTTGGGGCAACTTTGCCGTGCCACCACCCACTGAACCCAGTCTGGACTCGTCTGGCTCCCACTCCACCTGCACCCATTCTGCTATCAGCAGATGGAAAAATGGAGGCCTCAGGGCTGTGAGGTCAATAGCAGAGGTAAGCCTGGTCCATCAGAGCTGCTTCCCATCTCCTCAACCTGAGATGCAAAAGATAATCGCAACCAGGATTGAAAACACTCCTACGGCACAATATGCATCCTACCCCAAAGTGAGCACCAAGCAGCCTGTACGGGGCAGACCTGGGGTTCATTCCTTTTGCTCAGTAGCTCAGCACCTGGCCTTTGTTTATTCATATATCACTCCTTTGTTCAGTGAACCTTTATTGAGCTCCAAGTACCTGCCAGACAGTGGGTCTAAAGGAGTAAGTGAAACAGACATGGCCATATCTGCATTTGGCTTTGTGTAATAAATACCTGATACATGCTGAGCACATGGGGCAGGAGGGAGGAGATAACATTTCTTCCCTTCAAAGACGTCCATCTAGTTGGAGAGATTATGCCAAGCTTTACAAGTGAAGGAAAAATTCCAAGGAAGTGTGTCCCTATTTTTAGCAGAGAGAAGATGACTTGACCAAGGTGAGTGGCAGAACTGGGGACAGAAGTTTGATATCCCAGCTCTGAGCCTGCGCCCGGTATGACTGCAGGATGCAAGGAAGCACAGTGAAAATTGCTTTCTTAGGGGTAATTGGTCATTGCAATGATTCCATCTTGGCCTGCACTTCCTCTACACCCTCATAGCCATAGTGTCGCCCAAAGAATCCTCCCCGGCCAGCAGGTAGAGCCCCTGGAAGTATCGCTGTTACCACACAATCTCAACATAAACCAGCTGTCCTCATTTCCTGTGGCTGCTGTAACAAAGTACCACAAACTGGCTGGCTTCAAACCAGTTCTTAAGGTTTCTCACAGTTCTTCAGGCCAGAAGTCCAAAATCGAGGTGTCAGTGTGGCCGTAGTCCCTAGCAAAGATCCTGGGCATGGGCACACCCCTTGTGAATGTCACAGGTCCACGGTGCAGCCAGAGTGCTCTTTGCCGCAGTAGAGGGCAGCTCCAGCTACAGTGGGTGTGCCGAACCGAGAGGCACCCTCTGACTGTAGGATTACGGAAATCTTTATGGAGAAACAGCATCCGAGATGGACCTGGAAGGGTTGGCGGGGTTCAGACCCGCTAAGATGAGGGGAGGGCATTGCAAGCAGAGGGCAGTGCGGGAGAGACCGTTGCTATGCTCCCTAGATGGAAAGCAACAGGGAGAGTGGCTTCTCTCCTCAGCTGCCAGAAACTTTAGCAGGTGCATTTGAATTTAAGAATAAACTCACAATGCAAATGACCTATACTGATACATATGTAAGACATGTAAGATCTGCAAACTCTTGACACGATAAAAATTCTTCCATTTCTCAATGGCCCACTTTTTTGGTATGATTAATAGCCTTCAGATCTTCTAGTTCTTTCTCAAAAGGCTATAGGCCTTAGAAGGTGGGAGACTGTTTCTCCGGTCCTGATTTTCCTCAAGAATCAAAGTCCTGATTTTCCTCGAGAATCAAGCTCCTGTGCTAGCTCATCCACACTAGGAGGATGGTTCTAACATTTGTCAAAGCAACCATTTACTGTGTATTTTACCAGAAGCCACACACGATGCTAAACATCTACCTGGCATTGATCATTGCAATGATCAACAGTTTCTTGATCATTATTACCTTTTGAAGCCCAAGTTCTTCCTGCAGATTTCTCTTTCCTTCTGTGAGAGTTACAGGTTTCCCCGCCCCTGTCGTCTGTCTCTGGGACCTAGGCCACTTGAATTCAAGGGTTCAGTGTCTATGAAGAACCCAACTTCACCAGGCAGTTCTTGAATTGTTTCAGACTCTGGAAGAGTATGAAACTGGGGGAAAGGTCACTTCGAAGAGTGCTTTGCACACCATTGCTCATATTGTTTGCCCTTTTCTTCTTCCGCCATCCCCCCACCACAAAGTCCCTACTCCCACCCCACTTCCCAGTTCTTCCCTCCCTTTGTGTGCAGCTTCTGTCTGCCTCTGAAGCATGGATACAGTTGATATCCAGGCCCTGAGGGCTGAACCCCAAGTGAGCTAATCAAGGCATTCTTTTCACATCAGAGGCTCTCTCTTGTACCAGCTTCGAAGAAAATAAAATGTTCCCCACCTCAATTCATATTCAGTATATTACATCATCTCAACCGTCTTAGGCACAACGACTGTCCTCATTTTTCAGAGTAGGCAATTGAGGCTCAGTTAGGTTAAGTGATGCAATTAAAGTTATAAAGAAAGAAAGTGATGGGACCAGTGTATACACACAGGTCTGGCTTGCTCCAATGCCCTTAGCCTGATTCTCACTCACTGCCTGAATTGATCCAGTACCTTATCTACAGGCTGCCTCAAGGGGGATGAGGACAAACCAATCAAAATACCATGGGGTTTATGAAAGCTCTTTCCGAGTGGTTTAAAATGACTGGGAAAACAGGACCCTTTGGAAGACATGCAAGATGCAGCTCGGCAAGAATTCTAACAAGCTCACAGGCTTTGCCGTGCATGCCTGGACTGTATCTGTTATGGGCCAGGGATGAAGGATTTATTCCATTCATGAATCAGAGAATAACTATTGTTATTATTTAGCATTGATTAATTGTTCCTCTCCCTAACCCCAGGTCTCTCTGCACAGTTCTCAGAAAATCATTAAACTTCAGGAGTTGCCTGGGCTTTGACATTCTGGGTAAAAGCGCTGTACTGTGAGCCCTTCAAGGATAAGCCAGATCTCAGAGTGGCCTGGCAAAGGGCCACACAAAGGAGATGGCCCAGCCCACTGCAGGATGCTCCGTGACCCCTCGCCCCTGTCCTTGCCTCAAAGCAGCACCTGGGAGGTCACCGTGGTGACCCAAGAAGAGGAGCAGAAATCACAGACCTCGCTTCCTTACAGAGAAAACCAAGCAGGCTCCGACTGTTTCCTACACTAAGGATGTTGGGAAATGCATAACAATTGTGTAATTCCTAATAAGGAGGGGTAACCCTTCAGGGGTAATTACAGCAGCCAATGTCTCAGCCACATTTGTGTGACTTGATTAAATGTAACATTGTAAAGGGAGCCGGCACGGTGAATTTCCATCCTGACATCCAATAATACTCCCTAACCCTTTGGACATTGTCCTCCCCGAAGGTCAAAAATATGAATAAATTATGGTTCTGACAACCTTGACATGGAGCAGAGGTGGGGTGAAAAGCTCTCCGGGAAAAAATTCCGACATTACATTTGTGATCACAGAGAATAAAGGAAAATCCATATCCTAATTTTGCTAAATTTAGGCTTGACGAGGAGAACAGAGAATAACCTTTGGTGCTATGTTTATTCAGAAGGCAAGGGGCCCTCAGAGCTCAAAGCCAAGACACATCCTGTCATTCACCATGAGGCGGGTTCCTAGTTCCTGCTGACAATTTTTATTGATTAGAAATTATCAACCCAGGGACAATGCCATCCAAAGGAGTTGGCTGAGAAACAATATTGTTAAATAGTTAGCCGTGGTGCTTCCAGTCAGGTAGAATGTGTGCTCAGAGAGAGCGGGGCCATCCATCATGAGTGAGGAGCCTCATTTACAGAGACAACTGAGCCCAGGCAATCAGCCTGAAATCTGCTAAGCTGGGAATTTATAACAGTTCAGCAAGGGAGAGTTGTCTCTTGTTTTAGGTTCTGTCAGTGGATGGGGGAGGAGCAGAAATCAAGGCCTGGAAGGAGAGGAGTGAATTACTCAGGTGGCCTTGGGGAGGCCGCCTTTGGGATGAAGGGTAGGGGTCAATGTGAGGAGATTGTCCATCCATCCATCCCAGTCTGGAGCCTATCGGACTCAAGTTCAAAAACCCAGCACTGGGGACATAAAACCTACCAGATTTGTCATTTAAGCAGCTGGGAACCTGTCCAGGCAGGAGCCCTACATCACTCAAAAGCCTGGATTGATGGCGAGAGGGGGACAGCCCAACACTCTTGTCCTTGACATCATGACCTTGATTTCATTGTGCCAATGGCAGCACCGTAACCTCCTCAGTGGCCAAGGCAGACACCTGCCTTGCCTGAGCTGAGTTCAGAAGGGTCTGCCTGCCCATAGAACAGACCCCAGAACGCTGTGACCCAGCTCCCAGCTGCTTGCCTCCCAAGCAAGTAGGCATTGACATTTCACAGAGCAACAAGTAAATCCGATTTTGTGCCACAACACTTTTTACAAGCTTTCCCACTCTTCCTGAGTGTGTGCCTCTGTTCTTTCCATCATTTCTTTCCCTTAAAACACTTCCTGTAGATGCTTCCAGGTACTAGAGGGCAGTGGTTAAGCATTCAGGCTCTGGGATCCTACTGCCTAGGTCCTAAACCAGGCTTTCTTTCTTCCTGTGTGTAGTGAATACTATGGTGTGCCACTCGGCTGTCCCCTTCAAGCTCAAGGCACTCCTATTCCCAGCTTCAGGGGATGCCATGCCAAGCCGAATTACAGCCCACAGCAAAGGGAAACATTAGTACTACTACTCCTGTTTTACTTAAAATTTTGAGAGATGTTTATTCATCATGGATGGTTGTGTTAATTTTTTGTAATTTTGCATCAAAATATTATTAATCTTGATTGCTAGGTGTGGCACCATCTGAAGTTTTGCACCTGGGGTGATGCCTCACTTCTTGCAGCCTAGGCTCAGTCTTGGCAGGGATTGTTGGCTGCTGATGGTTCACAGTTGAGCAGCTCCCCAGAAAGAAGCCTTGAACAGAGGGAGCTGCCTCCCAGCTTATGCCCCTCGAATGTAAGGAGCAGTCCCCATCCAACGACTGGCCAGTGAGGAGGTTCACAGGCCCCTGGACGCAAGTGAGACACCTCAAAGGGTCAGTCCAGCCCCTCTCGGAGCTCCTCATGGGACTGGTCATATTGGTTTCCTGGGCTGCCATAAGAAAGTGCCACCATCTGGGTGACTTAGAACAACACAAACGTATTGTCTCACAGTTCTGGGGGGCAGAAGTCTGCAATTAAGGTGTCAACAGGGCCTCACACCCATTGAAGGTGCTAGGGAAGGATGGGTTCCCAGCCGCCCTGGCTTCCAGCTTTTGGTAGTTCATCAACTTGTAGCAGCATAACTCCAGTCTTCACATGGTGCTCTTTTATAAGGACGCCACTCATGTCAGATTAGGGGCGTCTCTCTTTTTCTCTCTGTCTCTCCTTTGTTTTCTTTTTAGAGACAGGGTCTCACTCTGTCACCCAGGTTGGAGTACAGTGGCACAATCACAGCTCACTGCAGCCTCCAACTCCTGGACTCAAGCGATCCTCCCAACTCAGCCTCCTGAATAGCTAGGACTACAGGCACACACCACCACACTCAGCTAATTTTTAAAATTAATTTTGTAGAGACAGGGTTTCCCTATGTTACCGAGGCTGGTCTTGAACTCCCGGCCTCAAGCAATCCTCCCACCTCAGCATCTTCTCTTTACTCACACTGACTCCCTAATTACACCCCCTGTGTGACAGGCCTCTTGTTGGGCACATGTGGAAATCATGGAGGGAGTTCTGGGGTGGGGGAATTGGGTCTCTGATCTGGGCACCCACCCTGCCAGCTGCTGCTTTTGAGCTGGTAAAGAACTCAAGCCCAGCTATCTCCCATCAAGTCTTCTTGGCCCATATGCAACTTATGCCCCTTGCCTCACCAAACCATGGGGATTCAGGGCACCGCGCTGCTGCCTTCTCTCTCTGCCCACCTGCTGTCTCTCTCCAAGCCTTTTCTCCCCTCCTCAGCTATACTCAGGAAGATCAGTGAGTCTATGGCTTCAGCATGAGCAATGAGAAAATGAGATGTTGGCCTCCCCTTCCTGTAGGCATTGCCAATCTCCATGAGGGATTCTCTAAAAGCCCCATCCCTCTCTATCTCTCCTGTGGAGGAGGGAATCTCAGCAGTCCTCTGGATCAATAAACTCCAAATCCCAGCTAGTTCCTCTCCCTCCTCTACCTCTCCCTGCTCAGTAGTTTCCTCGTGTTGACTGAGGGAAGGGAGTTTGAGGAGAGAGCTCTGGGATGGGGATAGGGGCAGCAGAGTTGTTGAGCCATCTATTGGTGAGCCAGTGGGGCCCCTAGACACTCGCTTACTTGAAAGTCCTTTTAGAGCCCTTGTCTTCACCTGTGGGTCCTAGTTGCTGGTTCTGATGCCACAGCAAAGTACCGCTCAGCATTCTGTTCCAGGAATCTCCAAGGGACCTGGTTCCCATCCCCCTGGAGACAGTGCCAGGGGTGATGTGTCTGCAGCCCAAGTCTCCCTCCATGAAGACAGGCTGCCATTGTTGTCACCGAAGCCATGACTCCACCGAAGCCATGACTCCATGATCTGCATTTTTATTCAGCCTGAGAGAGAAGTTGCCCTGGTTACTTCAGCACAGCTTTCAAGAGGAGACCTTGGCTATGACTCTCAGGAGCACCAAGTCTAGCACAGGCTCTATTTTCTGCATCTTTCATACATTTTCAGAGTCTAAATGCTGCTCCAAGTGGCCAGCACTTCCCAACCAAGAGGATGGAAGGGATCCATGACCACCAGGTTGGTACTGAAGGCATCTCAGCCTCCTGGGTCCATCCTGATCTACCCTGGGGACTCCCATCAGCTTATTGTCTAGGACCATTTTCAATGCAAAACCCAAGTACAAGCACCAGCCCCTACTTTTGTTTTACAGAGACCGTCATAATTATATTTGCTTCAATAGGCATCCTTCATTGAGCCCTTACTACATGCCAAAAACTTCACATGCATGATTTCATCTCATGTTCATAACCACCTTAAGAGGGGAGTACTATTATTTTCCCCATTTCTCAGATTAGGGAAACTGAGTCCAAGCAAGGATAAATTACTTGCCAGAGGTCAAACATCTAAGAAGTGGTGGAGTCTGGATTTGAACTTGGTTCTCTCTGACATTAAGGTCAATGCTTTGCTCTGCTGCCTCCACGCTGCTGCTTGCTGGTGCCTGTCCTCCAGCGGGAGGAAAGTGCATGTGACTATGGGGTAGCCCTCAGCTCCTCCATTTCGGAACCTGTAGAAGTGGAATGGCCTTGGGGATGTCCTTTAGGGAGGGACAGGTCTCTGTGGCTAGTGTTTCCCTGGGCCTAGCCTACATGATTCCTGCCCAGCTTCCTCAATCAGACATTCCCGGGCCTCTTCTCTTCAGTCTTCAAACGGTAAGAAATCAATCCCCCATGGATCCTGTTTCCTTTGAATTCCAAGCACATATGTCAAAAAGGAATCGCAAATGAAGGATGAGCTCTCTGGACTCTGGCAGCGTCTGTGTATGTGAGAGGCTCAGCAAATGATGTCTTTGGATATGTGGGGTCGTTTTACACGTATGTAAATTTGAAGGTACTGCCTGGATGCTTATACCTACTAACTCTCACCTTTTGTGAACCTGAAAGATTGAAATAAAGAAGAGAAAACCAGAGACTGGATTAACATTTGATTTGATTTACTCCCTAGTAAAATCCTATGTGAAGATCCAAAAAATGAGCTTGATCTTAAAATCAGCATCCATATCCTTCCTATCTGATAGATCCCAAAGTTTCCAACCTTCCATCTCTTGGCTTAATTTTTCTGAGGTCTGTTCTAAGTTTAGTCCTTTCTCCCCTGCCTCTTATTCCTCTGCCTCAACTTTAAGTTAAGTTCTTGGTTGCATGGTTTTCTCTTCTGGGCACCTGCTTAGACATTAGTCCAAGATTAAAAGTGCTGGATTTCACAGAAGCTAATTCCTAGAACTGATCCATGGAAAAAAGATATTGCTCCCTAGGTGCTTTTCAATGGAGATCTCTTTGTCTTTGGAATAGGATGGTTCTCCCTATCTTTTCAGGTAACTTTAAACTCCAAGAGAGAAGAAAAAATACAGGAGCCAGTCCCAGGCTGGGTCTCTATATGGCAAGTTCTTTCTCAGAACAAAGTGAGTTAGAATAAAGAACAAATACTCTCCCTTCTAAGAGGGAAACAGATTCTTCCAAATCCCACCCCAGCCTCCTTGCAGACTCCAGGAGCTTAGTCCTAGAGCTTGGGGTGGGAGCGAACCCTATCTCCCCTTGACACAGTGGCAAACTATGAACAATGGGGCATAGATTGTGGAGTCAGCTAGGCCTGGCCTCAATGGCTAAAGTCCATGCCTGCTATACAGTAACTATGTGACTTTGAGGAAGGACCTGAATCACTCTGAATTTCCAGG